TGAACTGTCTAGCATTCATAAAAAAAATAGATTTAATGTACACATGTGAAAGACAGGAAAGGGAGACCTATAATATTATTTCTCAAAAGGGAATGTACAGTGTTAAGAAATCAGTAAAATCTTTTGATAATTTTAGTCAGTCTATGTGTGCCTCTACGTCACGTAGCTAAAACACTGAGGGGATGTTTAGATTGCACTGAGTCTAAATACCGAGTCTGAGGCAGTGGTGGTGACGGTGATGGTAAAGGGACCTAATGACTTTCACCCCACTCAAATTTATAATCCCTTTAATAAAATACTGTAACATCCTAACATACTTGGAAACAACAGCAAATTGTCATGTAAAAAAGCTACAGTCATTAAAGTATATGTACAGCAGCAAAAATAACTGGTCAGAGTAAACACTGGGGTATTTGACTACACACCTTCCCCATACAATTTAAAAGCTGAGAATTGGTTTGCACTGGGATTCATCTGTTTATGTTCAGTTTCCCACTTTCCAAAATTATGACTTTCCAGAAAAAAGTATTCTTAACAACAGCACTAAAAAAACAAAACAAAACAAAAACCAGCTTTATAATGATTCCATGTGTCTATCATGTTCTTAATTAGATTTTTTTTTTTATATGAGCAAAGGTCATTTTTTACTCTGCAAAGATACATGACGCTGTAAAGTGGTGAGATGTAATATATATAATAAACTCCAAAAACAGTTTGAAAAAACAGGTTCAGTAAAAGGACTAGATGTTACAGTCCCAGATAATGCATTGCTTTAAATGAAGAAAATCTTGAGGAATGGCTGTTATGAGAAAAGGCAGCCCAGAAACTTAACCAGCGGCACTCATCATTATCCCTCAACTTTCGGTCTTTTACCCGGCCGTTTAGCCTGCCGTTGCGCCTGTCCTCTGATCCCAATCTCTCTAAGCAGTTTTGCTGTTGTACTGGCAACAAAGCCCCTGCACCCCACTTCCACTGGGCACACCTTGATCTTCCGGCCTCTGTACTTTGAGCTTCTTAAGCTCAAAAGCTTCCTCAATTGCTTCCTCCCATGGTACCATCAGCTCAATGACGTACGCAAGTTTTTGGGAGTTAGACCAAAGGACGAGGTCTGGTCGCAGAGCAGTTGTTACGATCTCAGTGGGAAAAATTAGCCTCTGATCCAAGTCCACGTGCATCTGCCAATCCCTGGCAACCTTCAGTGGGCCCATGTCTGGGGTTGAGGGACTTGGCCTCAGCTTGTCTCCCTCCCGGACAAATGCTGATGAAAACTGACGCTCCTATTGGTTTGTGAAAGGTTGAGCTTTGATGGATTTTCTTTTATACTCAACTTTCTTGGCTAGACAACTGAGGACCTGGTTGTGTCTCCATGTGTATCTGCCCTGAGTAAGGCTAGTCCTACAACCAACCAAGATGTGCTTGAGTGTGGCTGGGACTGTACACAGGGGGC